AATCTGTGCACGGGTAGGGTCCCTAGGCCTGGCCGTTGATCAGGGCTGATCTGTGGAATGACTGGTGAGGTGATCAGGGTCCCCTGATTGCACCCACCTTGGCCGGCCTGGTGCTGCCCGCTTGCTGGCCCTGCCCCCTACCTCTGTGGCTGCTGGTCGCCTCCCTCTGCAGGGCAACTGGCAGATATAATAAAAGGCTAATATGCAAATTGTCCCCTCAACCAGGAGTTCGACCAGGGGGTGGGGTGGCTGGCCAACCACTGGTGGCCCCTCCCCCACCATTGGCCCTGCCCCCAATCAGCCCCCTTCACCCCGTTTGAGGCCGGGCCAGCTGCCAACCTCCCACGTCCCCTCCCCCCAGTTGGCTGGCCTGATTAGCCCCGATTGGGGTGCACGGGCCAGACCCCACCTGTACATGAATTTGTGCACCAGGCCTCCAGTAAGAAGGATGAAAGGTATTTTAATAGAATAAAGTAATTCTTGAAAATGTAAAGACAGATATTTAAAGAGCCATCCACACTTCTTCACCAGTCCTTCTTCACATCAATGTCACAAATAATCTTAAAAGTCATTGGTGTGACCCTAGGTTTACTTTCTTATTAGAAGTAATTATGTAAGTACTAGAAGCCTGGTGCACAAAATCTGTGCACGGGTAGGGTCCCTAGGCCTGGCCGGTGATCAGGGCTGATCTGTGGAATGACTGGTGAGGTGATCAGGGTCCCCTGATTGCACCCACCTTGGCCGGCCTGGTGCTCTCCGCTTGCTGGCCCTGCCCCCTACCGCTGTGGCTGCCCGTCGTCTCCCTCTGCGGGGCAACTGGAGGGGCCATTGGTGGGCCCCCGTTTGTACCTGCCTTGGCTGGCCTGGGGCCTGCAGGCTGGAGGCAGCTCCTGCATTGAGCATCTGCCCCCTGGTGGTCAGTGTGCATCATAGCGACCGGTCGTTCTGTGTGTTGTTCTGCTGTTCAGTCGATTTGCATATTAAACTTTTATTATATAGGATGTCTAATGGCCAGCATTTAATAAGGACTTGTAGTTAACATGCCAAGTACTAGGCTGAGGTCATATATTTCTATTTTTATTGATTTCAGAGAGGAAGGAAGAGGGAGAGAGATAGAAACAACAATAATGAGAGAGAATCATTGATCGGCTGCCTCCTGCATGTCCCACACCAGGAATCCAGCCCACAACCTGGGCATGTGCCCTGATCAGGAATTGAACTGTGACCTCCTGGTTCATAGGTCAACCCTCAACCACTGAACCACTAGGCTGAAGTCTTTAATGCATTACCTAGAACAATTCTCAGCACTCTAAGCAGGGACCTATTCTTCTCTTCACTTGCTGGCTGAGGAAACTGATGTTTAGGAAACTTCAGGCCCTCACAGGTGTGGTGGCCGAGCTAGGAACAGAGTCCAGTTCATTCTGACTCGTGCTCCTACCCTGAGGCAGGGCCTCCATTTCCCCTTAGCAGTGGGTCCTGACGCAGTACTTGAGAACTGAGCAGGAGTGGGAGGAGGTTACCGTTTTGATCACATGAGTGGAGACTGATTCTCTGAGGTCTGCTGTGTGTTCTTGGTTGTACCTTTATGTGGTTATTCTTTACCATTTATTTATTAATTAGTTTTTTTTAAAATATATTTTTATTGATTTCAGAGAGGAAGGGAGAGGGAGAGAGAGATAGAAACATCCATGATGAGAGAGAATCATGGATCGGCTGCCTCTTGCAAGTCCCCCACTGGGGATCGAGCCCACAACCCGGGCATGTGCCCTTGACTGGAATCAAACCTGGGACCTTTCAGTTCGAAGGCTGACACTCTATCCACTGAGCCAAACTGGCTAGGGCTATTAATTAGTTTTATCCTACATAATAAAAGCCTAATATGCTAAGTGTCCAACTGTTTGACCGTTCGACCAGTTGCTATGACACTCACTGACCACAAGGGGGCAGATGCTCTGACCGATAGGTTAGCTTGCTGCTGGGGTCCGGCTGATCGGGACTGGGGGAGATGGGCTGGACACACCCTGGAGCCCTCCTGCGGTCCCTCCCTGGCCCCAGTCTCTCTGGACTGGGCCTGGGTGAGACTGGCCAGATATGCCCTGGAGCCAACCTCCCCTGATCCCTCCCTGGCTGGCCAATCTCCCGAGGTCCTTCCCCAGCCTCTAAAATATTTCTTCTAATTAATTTCCTTTCAATGTGCATGAATTTGTGTCATTTTTGCTCAGCAGTCAGTCTTTTCTGTGTTATTCCAGTTTTAGTATATGTGCTGCTGAAGTGAGCATGTGTTTTACTTATTTTTTCAGCTTTGTTAAGGTATAATGGACAAATAAAATTGTATGTATTTAAATTGTACAACACAATGATTTGACATATGTACACTTCATGAAATGATTGTGCAACCAGGTTCAATTAGCATATTGAGGCCATATTCTATCACTATTTTTTTTTCCCTAATGGAAAAGATTCTAGCATTCTCTAATACTCTCCTGATGTAGTCTTCGTCTCTGTCTTGAATCTTCAAATGCCCAAGGGCAGCTACTCTCCGTGTTGTATAAAGAGTATCTCCCCAAACTACTTATAACTAATACTATAATTGATTGATTAGGTAAGACACAAACTAACGTTGACATAAACAGTAGAAAGAAGGAAAAGGAGAAGGAAAGAAGAGGAAAACAGTGAAAGAAAAGTAAAATAGTGATGATCTTTGACTTGAATTATTTCAATTTTCATATTTACAACACCTGCATCCATTTTGTAGCCTTTATACACAGTTTTACACTTTTCACACACGTAAAAGATAACTGCCAGCTTTACACGACGTTAGCCTCCTGTTATTTGCCGCCCCCGCGGGGGAGGATGGGGCCTGACCTGCCCCCAAGGGCAGCACTCTGCTGTAGTTGTGGGAAAGCCCAGGTTTCCTTCAGGGCTTTACTGTCTTGCCAACCAAGTTTCTGGGGATGGTCTGCTTACTGGCTCTGGCCCCGATAGAAAGGGCTGGGAGAGGTGGCCCATCCATGGGAATAGGAGCCAACTGGATGGGGTTTCCTCCGCCCGGTGTCTGGCTGGCTGGGACAGCCGCCACCTCCTACCCCAGCCAAGACACCTGTGGAGGTCTTTCCGCTCCCTGGACGCAAGAATGGCAGGACCTGGAAACATCATGATTAGGGTTTTAATAATATATTTTTATCAAACTGGGAGGAAGTCTATTTTCACCATATTTTCAGGGCCATAGTACATGGAGGAGGGGGGACTCTCTGAAAATGAAGCTGCCAGCTTATTACCTTCTCTTTTATATTTTTTAAAAACATATTTTTATTGATTTCAGAGAGGAAGGGAGAAGGAGATAGAAACATCAATGATGAGAGAGAATCATCTTCTTTATAACACGAAACAGCACTTCTAATAAAATTGTATTTGTAGATAATCTTTTCCCCTTAAAATGGAAATGTTTAACTTATCAAATCAATATCTGACACACTTTCAAATAATGTAGAAGCATATAAAGTAGAAAGCGGCAGTCCTCTGGAAAAGCCCAGTGTCAGAACTATAAACTCTAGTTCAGTTATGGTCAGGGCACTCTGGTTTCTCTTCTCTAGGGGGCAGAGTTGAGCTGACATTTGGGCAGGTAATGCTGGATACAGAGAAGACTGGCCAATGACAAAATCATTACTATTACTTTCAACCAGAAAGGAGAGAGATGCAGCATTTCTTATCCAAACTCTGAGGTTAGAGTAAATGTACTGGATGTTGGGTAATTCTTATGCTTTATTAATGTATTTAAAAGTAGACACAAAGCTTATTTCATCTAGCATAATACTCTCCAGGTCCCTCCCTGCTGTCTCAAAGGGTAAGTAAGAGATCCCTCATTTTTACAGTTGCATAGTGTTCCATTATGTATATACCACAGCTTTTTTTATCCACTCATCTATTGATGGGCACTTGGCTGTTTCCAGATCTTAGCTATTGTAAATAGTGCTGCTATGAACATAAGGGTGCATATATTCTTTCTGATGGATGTTTTGGGATTTTTAAAATATATTCCTAGAAGTGGGATCACTGGGTCAAGTGGAAGTTCCATTTTAAATTTTTTGAGGTAACTCAATGCTGTTTTCCATAGTGGCTGCACCAGTCTGCATTCCCACCAGCAGTGCGTGAGGGTTCCCTTTTCTCCACATCCTCGCCAGAAGGCCTGGAGGGAGAGTATGGGGTGGAGGGAGTCCATGGAGGGGAAAAAAGGGGACATCTGTAATATTTTCAGCAATAAAGGTAAATTTTAAAAAAAAAAAGTAAACACAAAGGACAATGACTAATTGGTTATTTTTGTTACCGGAAAGGGGACCTGGCCTTGAGTGGGTCTGCCTAGGGCCAGCCAGTAGTGTGTGGGTTCTTGACTTTGTGCAGG